CAATTCCCAATGAGAAATGTAATTGTGTTGTATACCTACAATGTACCAATAAAATAATTTAATACAAAAATAAATAAATAAAATGTCTCTCAGGACCCCTTCATTTTAACACACATCCATTTTCCCAAGCCTTCTTTTCTCTAGCTTAATTTTTCCTCCTCATCCTTCCAACTTCATGCTGTTCTCAGCTCCCTCCCATCCTGGTGTATTGTTGTCATTGCTTATGCCAGAGGACAGTTAGCAGCCAAATAGTTTATAGAGCAGTGGAGGGTGTCTTAAACAATTGGCAGCTTTATCCTATTAAGTGTTTACAATAGCCCTGAGGTCTAAGTCTCACTTTATAGAAAGGAAACTGAGGTTCCAAGAGAAACAGTAAGTTGTTTGAGATCACACAGGGAGGAAGTGATTGGGTCAGGATTCAAAGCCGGAGCTTGCCTGACTCCAGCAGCTGTCATTAGCACATTGTTCTCAGAGCCCGGGATTCAGGGAGCCAGAGGCATCAAGGCAAACCACTCAGCCATGGGTCTGTTCCAACGGGGAACTTCCTGCCTTCTTGCCCTGCAGCCCCGCAGCCTCCACTTCCTCAATTTGGCAGCCTCTCTGCTCCTCTCCACAGGGAGAACAACTTCATCAAGGACTTTCCTCAGCTGGCTGATGGGCTGTTGGTGATTCCACTGCCGGTGGAGGAGCAGTGCCGGGGAGTCCTCTCGGAGCCCCTGCCCGACCTCCAGCTGCTCACTGGTAAGACCTGTCCCAGAACTCCTTGGGCTCCTTGACCACACACTTAGGCTCCAGGTTCACTTTGCCCTCAATAGATCCAAGACAGGGCCATCCAGGCCTCCTCCAAGGGGTGGCGGGCAGGGACCTGCCAGTTCTTGGGGTCTTGCTATGAGCTGTGTCAATTGAGGGGCCTTGCTGAGACCCCAGGTTCCAGCTGGAACTATTTTCAAGGAGAGGCTTCTCTGAGAACAGGGACAACCTTTCAACCTTTCTCAATGAGGGTTTTGCCTCTGTGTCCAAGTATCAAAACAATTTTTCACTGTCTTGACAGTTTCCTGATTTTTTTTTTTTTCAGTATTTGGTTTTCATGGTTCATCTAGAGATCACTGTAAAGTCAAGTCAGCAGACTCTCCAACCAAGAAAGAACTCTTGAGTTATATAGCTTGTTTTTGTATGGGGCCCTGAGCCATCCCTCTAATGGGAATCATTTTTCCCATTTTATGGATAAGGAGTCTAGACTCAGAGAGGCGGAGACCAGCCCAGGGTCACACAGCCTATCTGCCAGGACTGGAACCTGGTGTCATAGCATGCATTGAGTCTTGTGTCCCCTTTCTCGATTCTGTGGCTCCCACTCACCCTGCTGTGAAGCTGTCTTTTGTAGGCTCTCTTGAGGCCTCGTATTTTCTGCCCAGCCTCAGCATGTCTTTCTCCTCCTCATTGTTTCCTCCTAGTTTCTTTCCCACCTGTTTTGGGGGTGTTTTCCTAAAGTAGGCCTGGACTCTGCCTTTGTGATACAGTAGCTGTATGGCATTGAGTCCCAGGGAAAATGGTCACTCCTATATACAACTGAGCTTTATCACTTAGAGGGGAATTGTTCCCCAGGGAGGACCCTGCAATGTGACACAATTAAGTTTAAATCTTCCCCAACACTTTTGAGCTCTGGAAGGACCAGGGCAAGCTGTCTAACTTCTTTGGGCTCTTCCTACAAAATGGCAAGGACAGAGGAGAGAACCCACATGGGACAGGAGCCTCCTGGACACCAAGATCATTTATACACCAACATATGTAATTGTGCAGGGGCATTATTGTTCTTGGTTAAAGGAGTTGTATAACTTCTACAAGGCCCCATGGCTGTCCACAGATGCTTCAGCAAGAGTTAAGACTAGTTGATCTGAATTCCTAAATTGATGCTTTATTCCCTATCTTACATCATCTCCTTGACCTATCCTACTTCAAAGAGAGACCAGGATGTAGCCCAGATAAAATCATAGATGTACTCTTTAAAATCCTTTGTAAAATATGCCTAAAAACTTTTATGCCTTCCTTAGTTTTTATTTTTCATAAGACTGTAGAAATACCAGGCTAATATGGGATGTGAGGGTCATCTAGTTGAATTTTCCTTACCAATAAGTTGAATGAGTAAATGTTCCTCTTTGGATATCCCCAGTGGTGAGGAGTTCACCAGCTCTGAGCAAATATTTTCGTAGTTCATGGGGCAGTGCTGTATTCTAACAGAAAGATGCCTGGACGCGTCACTGATCCTTGGATGTCACTGAGTATTTTCCCCCTTTGAATCTTGGTTTCTCACTTTTAAAAAATGGAGGCTAATAATTATGGTGAGAAATAAAGATCATGTATATAGAATGCTTGGTTTATTGTTCTTCTCTTATAGTGGTAGAAATTGTTATGATCTTATTAGTATGTGTTTGCAGTCCATGAAGTTTACATTCATTTTGGGGGGTAGGTACACACACTTAACATATCTTGATTCTTTTCATTACCCTTTCCCTCCCTTCCCATCTCCCTCCCTGTCTCTAGATCCTCTTTCTCCATTTTCATTATTATTGTTAGTATTTTTTAGTTCACATTTGGAATATATAGTGATTGCATTCATCGTGGGCATTTGGTACATATATATGATGTATCTTAAGTATTTTTATATACCCTTCCCCTTCCCCCTGACGCTTGGTTTCTTGGACCCCTTCCCACTTGCAAAAGATCTACCTCTCTGATTCCTTTAGTCAATCTTACATGTTGCCCTTTATTTGTATTTTGCATTACTCATATGAGAGAAACCATTGTAACTGATTTATTTTCCTTAACATTATGTTTTCTAGGTGTATGAATGTTCCTACAAATGTCTCAAATTTATCCTTCTTTATAGCTGAGCAGTATTCTACTAGGTATAGATTTCACATTTTCTTTATCCATTTGTCTGCTGATGAACATACAGTAGGTTCCTTCTAGGATTTAGCTGTTATGAATTGTGCTGCTATAAATGATGATATGCATGTATCACTGTAATTTGATGCCCTTAGATCACTAGGGAAGATGCCTAGAAGGGGAATAGCTTGGTCAAATGGAATTTCTGTTTTTAGTTCTTTGAGAAATCTCCATACTGATTTCCATAGCAGTTGTACTAGTTTATATTTTCACCAACAATATAGAAAGACTCCTTTTTCACCACAGCCACACCAGCATATTTTTTGATTTCTTGATGACTGCCATTCTTTTGGTGTAAGATGAAATCTTAATGTTTTAACTTGCATTTCTTCAGTGACTGGCCTTGTTGAACATTTTTTCACAGGTCTCCCTATGTAGTCTAGGCCAGCCTTGAACTAAGTAGCCCAGGTTGGCCCCAAACTCATGATCCTCCTGCCTCATCCCCCTAAGTACTGGGATTGCAGACCCGTGCCACCATGCTTGGCTAGATTATTTGTTTTGACTCAGAAATCTTGTAAGTTTTCTATTAAAGGAATTTTTATAGTTCAGGGTTTTTTTTTTTAAATTCAATTACAAAGAAAAATTCTTCCCTCATTCCAGCCTAATTTTAGCTGTAAACCCCAGGTAGGCATCTGGGATAGAGCAGGGTGAGATGGTGGCCAGGCAGAAAGTAAAAGGCAGGGATGAGCATCTGATCAGGAATGGAATGAGTGTGTTTGAGTCAGTTGTTAGGTAATTTCTGAGAGCCAACTATATGCAGAGCTCTGTTTTATACTGTGCAGAAGAAGTGTGAATAATACAGACCACATATTCACCCTCAAGAAGATGACTTTCTGTTTGAAAACCTTATATTGCAGGAAGGATCCAGGGGTAGGGATCCTTGAATCCAGGAAGGATCAGGGCATAGAGAAGTGAGGAATGGAGAAACAGTTAATGATGAGCCCAGGAACAGACTTAGGGGCAGAGGAAATGGTTTTGCAAATTCATTCATAATCAGAGAGGTTTTTTTTCCTTTTGGACATCATGTCAAGTGAAAGAGTTACTGCAACAGCCTGCATCAAAGTGTCCAGCCCTCCTCTGTTGGAGATGGCTAGCTTTAAACATGAATGAGCAGTGCTAGAGGGTGCAGAAGCTGCCTGGGCCCTGAGGCTTGAATCTTCTTCGAAGACTGTTTCTCTGCCCTGTGTGAGAACCATGGACCTCTCCTCCCTCCTTCCACCCACTCTCCTTTTCTCCCCAGCCTCTGCAAAGGAAGGACAATGGGAGATGCAGAGCAGATAAACAGAGAAGACAAATTTATAACCAAACAACCTCGCTCCAGTGGACATATCTTTGGGGGTCATGAATATTTTACTTTAAAATGAAAGCTTCTAAAAATTATATTATTGCTGAAAAGGCTAAGGAATAAAAAGAATGTTGACAGTAATGGACAACTTTAATACTGCAGTAATGTCCAGGAAGAAATAATTTGTTCCAGTGAGATTCTCATTTTAATCTTGATATCAGATATCTTCTTAAGTGCCTCCTCACCAGGGGACAAGAGAAAGGGAAAAGAAATGTGCCTGTTATTTGCAGAGGCACAAGAAAGCATGGATACATAACAACAATAATGATAACTTCTGACGTGACTAGCATTTCTTTTTTTAATGCACTTTTTCCTGATTATGGAGAGAGATGTTATAAAGCTTAGGGTAGAAAATTTAGAACTTGGAGATGAATATAAATCAGAAAGCAAGAATTTTTCATACCCATTACCCAAAGTTAACCATTGCTAACATTTTGTTGTGTTTCTTTATCTTTTCTTTATACAAAACCTGTGTTTCCCAAACTACATTCTATGGAACATGAGTGTTATTGGGTCCTTAGTATAAAAAGGGTTCTATGGGCAAAGGAGTTTGCACAGTACCTTCCTAGAGCCTTAAAGTGCATATCAGTCTATTCAGAGTGCTGAGAAATTAGTTTTAATTTGTTTAGCCAATGTTTCTCACTCTTACTTGAGATGGGAAATTTTTATGTAAGTACACATGTATTTTATGTAATACATAAGGACATCCATATTTCCATGTCAAGAAACAATGGTCCTCACAGGGGTCAGCAACCATTAAGGGACAGATAATAAATGTGCCTGGCTTTTCAAATGGTCTCTGTTCCAACTGCTCAACTCTGCTATGTTGTATGAAAGCAGCCACAGCCAAAATCTAACAAATGTACTATAGATTGCTATCTCCTGGTCTATGTGTACAAAATTTCTAGATTACCAAAGGTTTCCACTTCTATTACTGCATGCAAATCTCACAACGTGGTTATGAAATAAGGTGAGTAGAGGTAGCTATAGCATCAGATGGGGAAAATGAAGCACTGAGATGTCTCATGTCCCATGGCAGTGCAGTTATGTGGGATATAAATCTGGCCTGAGTTTTTTTATCTGTAGGGTAAAGAGGACTTGCAAGCCCAAGAGAGGACCAGTAGGGATGGGGCTGAGAGGACAGGCCAGGAGGTGGGTCCAGATAAGATTGCTGATCCTAGTAAAAGCACACTCTCAAAGACCAAGCCTCTGCTCGCTTTGAAGAGGTGGCCGTTAGCCAAGCTGAGAGCTGCAGAGTAGGCATTGTGGCATAAGCCATCTAAATTCTGAGCTCACATGGCCATCTTATCTCTTTCCCAGGAGATATCCGGTACGACGAGGCCATGGGTTACCCCATGGTGCAGCAGTGGCGAGTCCGGAGCAACCTGTACCGAGTGAAGCTTAGCACCATCACCCTCTCAGCAGGTGAGGCTGCCAGCCAGGTAGCCAAGGAACTTGGGATAAATCAAAGACCTAAGGTGTGCCGAGCCTGTGCTGGCACTGGGGTTACTGAGGGGAAGAGAAAGCTTCCAAGGAGGGCAGGTGGGTTGGCTGGCAGTAACATCAATATGCTGCAGTAGGGTCAGAGAAATAAAAGGGCATTCGTGGCTCAGAAGGAGCCGTCCACTATGGGAAGTCAGACAGGCTTCCTGGAGGAAGGGATATGTAAGCAGAGATTTGGAAGGATGAATAGAACAGAAAGGATAAATAACAACCTAATTATGTTTTGGTAGTGTTTCAGGCTTGTGGATTGTATGTTTTCTCCAACACCAGTTCCTCTGTTCTCCTCTGGCTAATTTCTTCTCCTGCCAATCTCTAGACAGCAATAGCATTTCTTCCCACTCCACCTCATCTCATACACATGCATTACCTCACATTATCCGCATGGACACTGAGCTCCAGCAGAGGGATAATTCATAGTTTTTAGAATGGGACATGTTTTTCCATGACTATGATTATGCTCTTGCTGTGCCTTCGGCCTGGATCTCATCGCCTGGAGAACATACACTAACCTACTAGTTGGTACTTCCTGCATTCTCCATTTCCTCAGAACAACTCAAGTAATTCTCAAGTGCTTGAATATCCATATCAAAGTACTAATGAGAGCTTGATTCATATCTGAAACCAGTTAATCTGATCATGTTTCTGCCACTGACCTGAGAGCTTTGGGTAGGACTTGGGCCTTATTTATTCCAATAGCCCCAGAATATAATAGAGAGTCAGCACATTATTGGTGCTCATGTTTGATGGATATAGGTAAAAATAATGAAGATCAAAATATAAGGCATGAATAAAGGACTCTGGAAAGATGAGATCTGGTTTAAGAGCCTGCATACCCAGGCATTTACTCATTACACTGCCACAGCCTTATTGTCTGTGTGTTCCCTAATTCTTCATGCATTCCTATATTTTTTCCCCTTTTTCACTATCACATTGTTCATCAGCAAAATGGAGCTCTTTTAGCCTGGGAATTGGAAGGCTTTTCCCTCTGGGAAATACAAATAGTAATTATTGCTGACATCTGTCAAATGCTTCATAATGTCTCATATCTTATGACTTACAACAGTCCTACCAGGGAAGCATTACTTATTCCATTTTCCTCCAGATAAGGAAACTCAGGGTCAGAGAGGTTAAATAGTTAACCCAAGGTTGTACTGCCAGTAAGTGGCAGAACAGTGAGCAGAGAAAGAGTTTGACTGCATTTTTTTCTGCCTGGATAAAGATTCACAGGTACAGTTATTTATTACTTAACAGAAACATGTCATTATTAATACTGCTGTATTAATTACTCAGTTACATCAGTTAACACATTGATGGAGAGAGGTTATCCTAATCAAGCACCCATTCTTTGAGCCTATTTCTGTTTCCCCACCACCCCCTCACCCTGCACTTGAATATAACTGTGATGTTTCTGTTGAAATTACAAAGGCGTACCTGCTTTAATTAATCAGCAGTGATGCTCCTTGATACCCCCTTTGTAAATCAAATGTTGGCAAGTTGGAGCTCATTTTCCATGTTGGAGAGCTGCTTACTCTTTGATGTGGCACAGAATGGGCTGTTCTTATAATAACTAGGGTTGGTGTGTTTGCTCTATTTCAGGAACTTTGTTGTGTACTTGGTTGGGGTGTAGGAAGGATGGTTGTGCAGATTTAGAGGAAAACGAGCTGGGGCTGCTGCCTGCACAGTGGGGAATGTTGGCAGCACACAGAGCAGGTACTCTGGCCAAGACTGTGTACAAGAGGCAGGCTTCTCAGGAAGGGTGACTTCACAGGGGTCTTGAAGTGCCACTGTGACTTAGGGAAGATGGAGGACTCAGGTGGGCACGTGTGTTTGTGTGGATGAGTGGTTACAGGACTTGGGGGTAGTAAGTATGTAAAAGAAGAGAGAGTGATGGAAGTCCCAGGTCACAATCAGGACAAATGAGAAAATTGCTTTGGCTGAAGCAAAAGTCTGGTGTGTCTAGCTCCCAGTAGATGAACCTGGGGTGTCTAAATGCCCAGATAAGGTCATTTTGGGCTTTATCCAAGAACAGGGAGGAGCTTAGGAAAGTCTTAAGAGTAGAGAATAGAGACAGTTTTGGAGGAAAAGTAAGCAATGTTTAGAGGGGATAAATGGGCCTAATGAAGAGTCAGGAGCTTGGGACGAAGTTTACCTTGGCCCCGAGTGTAATGTCAATTCTACTCTTCCTTCCTGAGTTAGCTGGGAAAGGAATTCAAAATAATCAAATATCTTCTGGAGGACCTCGCCTTTAAGGCACATCAGGGAATTTTAAAGGAAGTCCATCCTTGCATTTATTGCTAACCCATTGCTCTCCCTTTGAAGTCCAAAGTCGCGTGTTTTGGGGTATCATTTTCTGAATCATTCCCCTATCTGAAACTTCCCTAAAAGTTTCACTCAACAACAACTGCATTGCTGGTTGTGGAGAGGAGAATATGGTTAGGAGGTGATTGAAAGGGACTTTGTAAACCACTCTCCCATTGCCGGGCACTGACCAAGGAAGGACAGGGAAGGAGGAGCAGCTGTTACTGAGTGATTGTTGTGCCAACCCTGTGCTAAGACTCAGGTTAGGACTAAGGGAAATAGAGCAGTAAGATGGTTCCGTGGTATCTAGGAAGAGAGCTAATTGGGAGAGTAGAGGGAAAAAAAGGGAAGCAGTGCTACAGGAGGCTAAAATAGGGATCAGATCCATGAAGAGAGTATATGTTGAACCTTGGGCAATGCTCTGTGACTTGCTAGCCAACGACCTCTGAAGTCTGACCATCTACACATGTTTCTCCCCGTCTAGGCTTCACCAATGTCCTCAAGATCCTGACCAAAGAGAGCAGTCGGGATGAGCTGCTCTCCTTCATCCAGCATTATGGCTCCCACTACATTGCAGAGGCCCTCTATGGCTCAGAGCTCTCCTGCATCATCCACTTCCCTAGCAAGAAAGTCCAGCAGCAGCTATGGCTCCAGTACCAGAAAGGTAAGCCTGGGGTGCTGGTTAGAGGTGGTGACCAGGTGTAGTGAAGAGGGAAGGCCACTGGGAGTCAACTGATCTCCCTTGGATTGAAATCCTGGCTCTACTAAGGATCATCTCTGCCACCTGAGGCAAGTGCCTGTCCAGGTCTGGGCTTTACTTTCTCCATGGGCAGAGTTAGAGGATGTGATTTCTCAGGATTCTTTCAGTTCATGCATTTTCTGAGTCTTAAATTGGTGCTTTGGACCACAGAAGTCTTCTCCCACAGGCTATTTACCACTGTTTCTCTTTGAGATAACTGTTAGGGATAAGGATTGGGGGAAATCTGATCCTGTGGCAGTGTCTTCTTGACACTTTCTTCTCTCCAGGTTTCTTGACAGAATCTAGGAGGAAGTCCTCCACCTCACCTTCAAGAGCATATTTTCAAGTCTCTTCCATGGAGAGGCTATCATCCTCATGGAGGGCCACCAGATCTTACCTATCCGATTCTTAATATCAAAACTGGAATTCCCCAGGCCAAGCGCAGGAGACTAGTCTCTGCTATTAACCTTGAAAAAATCATTCCTGTCTTACCTCAGTTTACCCTTCCTATAAAATGGACACTTAAATACCTCTTCTTATCTATTTCCTACATTAAAAATAGAAGTGGTTTAGGCAACAGCACATTGAGATAGTTAGAAATATCGCACATATGCATGTGTGTATTTTTATAAGTCGATGTATCTCACACTTGAGAAATTGGGTCTTAGACTCAAATGCCCACAGACACACAGCTCAAAAGTAGCAAGCCCAAGGTTGGAGTCCCTGGCTGGCTGGTTGGAGAAGTTTATGTTCATTCCTTCTTTCAACCATACTGAAGTACTTCTCGTTATAATTAATACTAATAATATAAATTAACTGTAAAAGAAACGCTCTCAGTAGAAGGAGTGAGGAGTGATGTTACAAACTTGTTTGCATCTCTTCTCATATGGCTCAGGCCCCCCATCTCTAATAACTAAATCAATGGCAGAATTCCTAAAGCCACAGAATGGGGGAGCCAGAAGGGACTTCAAAGGCCTCACTGAGCTCAGCTCTTCGGTTTTGCCTTTGGGAAAATTAAGGTTGGAGGAGAGGAGGAGACCTGCTCAAACTCACACAGCTCTGCTTGTCAGGGCCAGGACAGAGTGAGGTTACTCCACACCCCTCCTCTGCTGCTTCTCAGTTGCTGCGTATTCCTGATGGAATGAAACTCTTCTCAGTCTCCTCTGGCATCTCCAGAACACTTCCCTTTTTCCCTCCGGGGGCTTGTATCCACAGAGGTGCTTGGATCCCTGCCTGATTCCTGTGCGCAATTGTGTGGGGCGCGGGTGGTTTATAGGCACAGAGGACATAATTGAGTTGTCTGGGAATAGCTTGATTTTATGGCTGTGACAATGACCGTCTTTAAGGAAGTGCATTAAATCAATAGAAGTCTCATTGCACTACCCTATAAATAATGTGACACATCATTAAGCAGGGCAATAAGCTTCAGGACTTTGAAGTAATACAATTAGGTTATGTTTATAAAAACCTCTGTTCACTGTGGCCACTGCACTAATTTGTTTCCTGCCACATTCAGGGCCTGGGACACTACTCTGATGCTAAATTCCACCCCATCTTTATCCTTTGGTGATTTCCAGGGCTTCAACTTCCTGATTCTAGAGAAAGTAGATATATAGAATCGGTTGCATGCAAGAAAGGTGAGAGGGTAGAAAGAATGCTGATAGAGCACTCAGAGATCCTCTTTCTAGATGTGGATTTGCCACAGATGTTCTGGGCAAACTTAGTGTAGTAGCTTCCCCTTCTGGGCTTCTAGTCTGGAAAGGTACTTTTTCCCCCTCCGTGATCCATACTTGCTCCTAAGAAGAGTAAAAATACACATTAAGGCTAGCTTAAACATTCACTGTGTGTTTCCTCCTCCTAATCTTTACCTGTTGTGACCACCTAAATTGTACATCAAATACATTTGGCATTATTTTTTATATTTGGAAGTGATGCTAGGGAGCAAGGAATTGAAAAGCTGGTAATTTGCTTCTGTGGACCTGGAGGAGGAACTCAGAGGACTCAGAGACAATGAGTGATAATCTCCAAACCATCAGTTCCGTGTCACTGATATCTAGGCCAGGATGAATCTGGGATTGGAGGCTGATAATTCAGGAGGCAGACTGTGTGGAAAGAGAGACAGATAGCACAGTGTTAAAGTGGAACAGATGGAAAGACACATCCTGATTCTCCTCACATACCTGACAGATAACCTTGGGCAGAGTAACTTCTAAGTTTCACTGTGCTAAATGAGGAGTAGTCATTCCCTAGCACAGCATTTCAGAGAATGAAATAAGATAATGCAAGTGAAATGCTTGGTACATAGTAGGTACAAAAAACAGGCTTGAAGTAAAACAGAAATAGTGGGCATCAGCTATGGCTTCTGGTCCTGGCCCCAGTCCTTGGTAATACGTGTGATTTCAACCCTCCTTTCTCCCTATGAACGACATTTGTCACTAGAAAGGGACAATCTCTGCAGATTTTTTTTTCAGCCTATCAATGAGGGTCAGTAGAGAGGTTCTAGAATTCTTTGAAATATATGATTTTTGCAATCTGAGCTTCAGATGGTGATGTCTACTTGACTGGATGAGCCACACCTGGAAGAGTAGATGAGGGAAAACAGACCACACAAGGCACAGAAAACAACCATAATAATTTGTGCAGTCCTCTATAGTATGCAGGTGGGCACAGAGGCCAAGAATATTCACTCCTCCCTTTATAGAAACATAGCCTGAAGCTTGAAGAAGAAAAATGGCTTTTTATGTCAAATGGTTCATCAGTGAAGGAGTTGGGGTTTGACTCCCAACCCAAGCCAAGTGCTCCATTCCCTAGATCCAGCATCCTTGGGCTTCAGAAATAAATATCCCAGCCTTTCCAGGCTTACTAATGATATTCCCTGGCCACTATTATGATGGAGGGTAATCACTGGAAATTACTGGAAAGCCAAGAGAGATGGGGTGAACATGCCTGATTAAAATATTTCCCATGAGAGGTTTTACTTTCCTTCCCTTAAGTGCAGCAAAATGTACATTCCACAGGAAAAAGAAGTCACATTGTTCATTCATTAGTTCTTTGGTTCACAGAACATTTTCCAAGTGCTTTCTCTCGATACACAATGCCCCTTTGTGCTGGGGAATCTCAGTAGTGGAGACATAGGCTCTGTCTCTGTTGACCATCACTGGTCAGTTTTAATCTCTCAACTTGCGTCATTTTCTTTGTAGACATTTTTTAACCTATTTGTAGGCGACTAGGAAGAGGAAGGGGACTGTCACATAGTAGGACACTCAGTCACTGTCATATTATGGTCTATAGCTTTCATGTGCCAGTTATGACCATTTAGGGAGGGCTTATCTTGACCATTGTATGGTGGTCATTTGGGTCACTGAGAACAAGCTCTGATTTGTTAGTAATGTCTATTCTAAAGAACATAAGGGAGTGCAGTAGACTCTACCTTGTAAATTTTCTTCTCTATAATAGGGAAGTATTCAAAGCCAGAATAACAGAGACCTAGCTTCTCATGTTGATTCCAGAGGGGCTAGGGGCATGGGAGGAATGACTGGAAAGATCTATGGAGGCAGGTGGAATTTTCTATTAGAAGGTGGTGATCCAGGCTTTCCAACAGTCTGGAGGGGACTGGAGATCTAGACAGGTCAATAAGGTGGAACGTGAGTGAACCCAGGAAAAGGAGGGCAACAGCAGTAACTGAAGTCATCCCTGGAAGATCCAGGCCCTAGGCTTGATTACCATTGAAGGTATTTGGCATGTCAGATTCCTTTGATCATAACCTTTATGCCCACCCCATTCCTTGAGCATCATGTAAAGTTCTGTGTCTGTATCTAGGGTAATACTTGCACTATGTGTTGCTATGCTCTCTACAGACCTGTATTTAGTAAAGCTACCTTTCACTCAATCAGGGCTCAATTTTACTCTTTGCCTTGATATTCACATGCCATGCCTAGGTATGACATTGATACTCAGCCTTATATCATGATTATATCTATATAAAGTCACTCTTTCTCTGGCTATCTCAAATAAAGATGATCCTCATTTGGAGATGAAGCATAGATCTTGTATTCAGATGGACACTGATTAAAATCCCAGTTCTACCTTTTGCCAGTGATATGATTTTGGACAAATTGATTCACTCTCTGAGGTCAATTTCCCTATGAGCAAAATGTAGGGTCATAGACTGTAGTTGTATAAATTGAACGTGCAAGTAGATCAACAAGTGGACCCATTTAGCACTGAGCTGGGCACCTAATTATTTTATTCATTGAAACCATTCCTTCTACCCATGGCTGCCACATACATTTGGGTCACCCTCTGCACCATGTGGTGTGGGTGTGTGTGCACATGTTCACACAGCCACACGTGTGTATGTAAATGGATAGGTAAGTGCTTCTTCTTTACTCTCATATCTTGTCAATTGACCCAGGATCAAATATGAGATGGGTTGGCCTGAGGTAGGGAGAGGCCTCAGTGAGTCCAGCTGCATTTGTGGAGGCAATGGTGGGAGGGGGCTAAGGAGTTGCACACACAAAAAAAAACAACTGAAAGGGCTCTCTGACTTTTGTCCTCCTTCATCACTTTCTACTTAGGAAGAATAGTGATGGATATACACATTATCAGCCTGATATCATTTATACTCTTTAGTTGCCTTTCATTTCATGGAGAAATTGTTTCTGAAAGGTGACAGGTGTGTGTATGTGAAGAAACTGTTCATTCTGTGTATGAGACAGGCAGAGAGGCAGAGAGAGAGAGAGAGAGAGAGGAAGCAAAGAGAGAAAAGGGAAGAGAAGGGAAGTCTAGAAGCAAATTAATTCATACAGTTAACATGCCTTTTCCACAGCCTGCCGGCCTCCATGAGCCCTGTGAAAGGACATTCTCCATGTGACGCTTGCATTGCTCTTGAGTTTTGATCAGGAGGACCTGTGGTATAGTGTCCC